CAACAGTTATGTAAGTCTTGAAGATTTTGAAAAGATATCGCACAAATTTTGTGACTTAGAGCACCATTAATTTGTGTATAGAAAAAGCATATGATACCAACATAACTATTTAGCAAACATTCATGGGAGTCAGGAACACTATCTCATTGAAGTATGCTTTCAAAATAACCTTGCTTCAATTAGGACTTTTGAGGGTTGTAACGTGGCCTGGTTCATGGTTTTTTTAGAAAAAAGATTTTTAAGGCTCAAAATTTATAGGTGCCCGCCCATTATTCATGATGTTCTCCAACCTTATGTTCAGTTAATTCAATATGAGTGTTCATCTCTCAAAAGGATTTTGTGACGGTTAAGGAAACGACGATGCTTTCGGAGTAGAAACCACCCTTATGTCTTCGTGTTTGTAGTCACCAATTTGTTCTTTGCTGAGGACTTTTCTTTGTATCCCTTTCTTTGCAATTTTTATTTTCCCTAACTTTTGCCTGAACTGATTCTTTTGAATTGATAGTCCAGCGGGATGCCCTAATTTTTTCCTAAGTCGCACGTTTTCAAGTTTTCGACTTAGCATGCTTTTTCTTTTTTCTTGATTTTTGATTTTGTGAACAAAGCGTGTGACACTAGCTTGTCTTTACTTGTTGAGAGGATTTTGATTGCCTCGTTTCTCGATGAATGAGGGATAACATTGTGGTTCCACATCTTCTGGATTCATTATACATGAAGGATAGTCCTCGTAGTTTCTCTTAAGAAATATCTTCCTTATGAATTTTGAACACTCAATCAGATTAACTGAAAACTACCCTGCCCCAGGTTAAAATTTGAGGGTTTTTTTCGTATAGAAAAGAAAATCCTACTTCAAGGCTCAAAAGGGTTTAGCAAGGGATTATCTTCCTTATATCTCGGGTGTTTAGGGATTTGAAACAATGCATGTACATCGTCAACAAGATTTTATTCAAAAAAGCATGCAACCATAGATTTTGTGTTCTTTAGATCATCATCCTCCCTTCAATCTCTGCCTAGGAAGGAGAATGGGCAACAAGTTGGTATCATAATGCAAAAATAAATTTAAATTTTGAAAACAAATATGAGTGAAACGAATGAATTTCTTCAAGACAAACATACTCATTGTATTAAGATAATCATTCAGATGTAAACAAGTTCTTACATGCAAACAATGTTTTGATAAACAAGAAAAATTACAAAAAGCAGAAATAAGTTAATAATCTGGGAATGCTTTCCATCTGGACTTGTGCTGAAGGAAACCTCTCCTAAACTTCAAGGCCAAAATCAACAGAGATTCACTTATGCTTTAGCAAAAGGGGTTGGCTTGAATGTTAAGACTGTTGTCTTTAAATGATAAAATACCACCTTTGACCATCTTCTGAACCTTAATCTTTGAAGCAAGGCAACCCTCTAAGTCGTGCCCATGAGCACCTTGATGAAAGGCACAAGTCAAATCAACTTTGTAATACCAGTGCATCTTCTCAGGAACCTTCGGTGGAGGTCGGGTCTGAACCAAATTCCTCTGCATCAGGACAGGAAATAACTTTGTATAGGTTGTTGGAATTGGATCAAATTGAGATTTACTATGATTAGGAACTTGCTGATTCTGTTGATGAACTAAAGTTGCAGAAGGTAAATTGAACACATGGATGATAGGAGAAACATGATGATTCTAGCGATGATTATTTCTTCCTCAGACTCTCTTCTTGGAAAAGTTATTATTAAACTTCTTCACACCACTAACTGAGCCACCCTCTTCATATCAACATCCCTTTCAGACATTTTACTCTAGATGCACTCCCACATTCACCTTGCCAAGAAAGTCACTGGATGCATTAATCATCACCTTCTCATGAGAGAATGATTTTAGAGTTTCAGTGAAGACTTTTATCATCGCTTCCTCTCTCCTAGAAGGATTGACTTGGGAGGCAACCAAAATTTCAACCAAACCAGTTAAGTGCTCCATAATAGCTTTCAAATTAGTCATCTCTCTACGGAGTTCAGAAACCTCTTGCTTGATATTCTCCATTGTTCTATTAGCGCGAGTGTTGTACAAGTGAGACCAAAGGAAAAATTAAGACTTGGAAATGACTTTTGAAAGTGAAACAAAAAAATGTATAATGACGTATGATATGCAAAAGAGAGTTTTTATTTTAATTTCAAGGAACTCAAGATATTAAGTTGTAAACATAAAAGTATGTAGATAGAAGATGAATTTTAAATTGGATCAAAGAGTTGATCAAGTTATCATCAAGATCAATCATCCATTTTTGTGGATTAGGGTTTTCACCCCATCAACACCCAAGATCCATTGAGCTTGACGAAACTTGTGATGTTTTCAAAGAAAGACTTCCAAATTTCTTGAAAATCAAGTGAAAAAGGGTTTCATGGATGCATGAAGGCATGGCTATGCAACAACCACAAGCAAGGTTATAAACAAATTCGAAAGGTTCAACGTCACGAGCATGGAGTCAAAGGTAAAGACCATCCCCAAGGTATGTACTAAAGGTTTAATCACACCTGTAAAACAAGGTTCTAAAATTTCCCAGAGTCTACGTTCCTCCTTCAGATATTACCAACGTCCCGATTACTTGGTAATTAGAAATATTCTCAAGAGAAACTCGTCTGAGTGCAGCATCGCATGACAACTACTTCCGGATTACTCTGTTATAGTCTCCGCACTACACCTAAGAGGCCAATATAGGTTGGGGCTCTACGATTCTCAGCTTCTCTGGCTCCCAGGTCGAAAGCACTAATGTCTTCCCGATTACTCGGTAAACAAATACTACGTTCAAAGGGGCTTCCACTGAGTGGGGGATTTCATGCCTCCTTCTCCAGGATTACTCCCTCAAAGTTAACATGACTATACTGCCCGTCCTATTCCTAAGTGTAACTTAGTCTGGGTATAGGACTTGTCCTTTGTAAATATCATCAACACCCAAATAACCACAATATATCACATATAATCAAAAAAACAAGTAATAATAAATAAAAATAGATATGACAAATTAGGCTTAACCCACTTAGGGATGGACTAGCAAGAGGTCAATCTATTCCCCAGCAGAGTCGCCAATTCTGTAGCAGTGAAAATTGGAGATCGAGCTATTAACTAACACGACTCGCAAAAGCAAGAGTCGCCACCGCGCTTTATTATTTCCAAGGGAAAAGGGAAAAGAGCGAAATAAAACCCTAAAATATGCAATGAAAAATAATAATTAAAAGTAATGAAAATACAACGCGTTTTTGAAAAAGATCTAGAGTTCGGGGGGTTGGTTATGCAATGGGAAGGTATTAGCACCCAATGCATCTGCGGTACTCCGTAGGAACCTTTTGAAATATCTGTTTTTTGGTTAAAATTGTTTGTTTGGTTAAAAATGAGTCTGGACGAGATTTCGAAGATACGACGACCTAGTGTCGAAGTTTTGACTTAAAAGGTGTGAGTTTGAGAATTGAGTTTTTTTAGGAGAATTATCTTAAGTTTAGCAAAATAGTAAACAAAACAAAAATGAATGAGGGTATTCGCACGATCGTATATTTGATGACATGAAGTCAACAAGGTGAAAACATCTCCCTTGGAATAAAAAAAATATAAGCATCAGTAAATGGCAAAGTAAAATCAAATAGTCGAAAAGAAACAATTTAGCAACTAAATGGCCAACACACAAATATTAATTTAGTTAATTGAAATTATTTAATAAAGCTAATTAATAAAAAATTAGATAAAATAAATAAAATCTATTAACAAAATTAAATATAATAATAACAATAGTTAAAATAAAAGTAAAAACAAGGTAGTAATAATAAAAATAAAATATTAATAACAATAAAATTTGAAGGAGTTGTAAAACAGTAAAGAAGGTGTACATGACATCAATTCGTTGGGCTTAAGTGCAAGGCCCAAACAGATAAAGCAAAACAGAAAGAAGAAGAAAAAACAAGGAGAAGGACGGATGAGTCGGAGTGAGGAAACATGTCAAGATAAGGCCCAATTAAATCTCATTGTCACAAAATTTCAAAGAAAACCCTAGGGGACTAAGGGTATCAGCCGCTGCCTATAGTCTTTGGGAATTGATTTAACAATAACTTCCAATTAATTCTTTTAATCATTAATTTAAATAAATCTCAATTAAAAGCATGATTTGGAAATATAATCCATGCTTATCTCTCTGTACTAATCTCACGACCATCTCTCTCTTTCGATTTTGAAACCCGGTTCCTCTACCTCACACTCTTTCTTTTTCTCTTTATCGCTTTCTTCTTTTTCTTCTTCTCAACCTTATTCAACCTAATCTCCTCTTTCAACTCTGTCATCCTTTCTTTAAACGCCGCCTTAATACTCTTCGTTCTCGCCCTCTCCTCAAACATCATCCCCTTCTTACTAACTTGCGTCAGCGACGACCTACTCCGCCGCACCTGCTTCCAGTTTCATCCGGAGACTTTGCCGACAATCACCCCGTCGTAGGTTGGTTTACCAAACAAAAATGATGAAAAAGAAGGTTTGCTGGGATCTGATTCTGATGGGACCGCAAATCTATTTTCTGGAGGAGGGGCGATGTCGTTTTAAAGGTTGAAGAAAGTTGTGTTAGAGGTTACAGTTTTTTACAAAGTTTTAACTCTATGTGTTTTTTATGTGTCTCTTTGTTTCAGATATAAATAATGGAGCATGAGGGGAGTAGTTCAGACGAATAGATGAAGGTGACAGAAGGTTGACAAGTGGTTGTGAAAGGCGATTGGACAGGGGAGGAAGTTCGGCGGTAAATGGCCAAAACAACCATGCGTTCTGCTCACAGATTTCCACTCGGTTCTCTCAACAAAAATCACGTTCAAGGTTTGAATCTTTCTTTTGTGATTTTTATCGATCCCAACTCTTATTTTTTACTTATGATTTAAACATTAAGATAACAGACACTGTCATTTTTTCTTTTTTATAGAATACTCGTGTTTTTTTCAAATATGGCAGTAGCGACAATGTTGGAACAATAATAGTAGAGTTTCCACATGTTATGAACAAAACGGAGATATCGATTCAAATAAAGTGTGAAATTTATGATACAGCTAGTTCAATTTGGATAGAAACAACAACAACAGTAAGGCAAAAACGAAGGAGGAAAAGAATTACCAAGTCGGAGTTCCTCCCAAGGGTCTTCGTACCTCTCAGGTAGATTTGTTAGAATCTTTTCTTCTGGTCAAATTCCTCTTGAAATTGCTTGTAAGTTTGAAATTTGTTGTTAGTATTCTCTTGTAGAAAGCTTGATAAAAAAAATGTTCCCCCTTTTCTATTGAATGATATCTTATCTTTATAGGAAAAAATAATCGAATTTGTGGGGGAAAGTTGGTTTTATTGTCACTGTTTTATTGCTTTTTGGTGCAGGTATTTATGGTTTCATTTTGGCCATGTTTTGGATAGCAAGAATAAGGATAATGCAGCAGGGGCAGAAGCACTGTTTTTTGTAGGCAATAGGTTTTGGAGCAGTAAGGTTTTGGACTAATCTATAGGCTGTTGTTTGGACTTATTTTGCAGGTTTCTTGGACCATTTGTGCAAAAATTTTGGCTTGTTATGGCAGCAAGACAGTAGCAGATTCATAGGTAAATCGGATTATTTTGGTGGCTTAGCATAAAGAATGCAAAGTAGAATTTTGGGCAAGGCACCAAGTTGATATGTCTTGAAGATTTCATGTAATTTTAGCACTTTAGGACTTAGGAATTCATGTGTTTCTGTATGGTTTCATAATGAGATATGAAATGGTGATGATTTTGTAATGGAAGTATTTTGTAACCTCTTGAATTCACATGAATGAAAGTATGAATCTTGAATGAAAATCTTGAATAAATTATACACCAAATGATCTTTCTCTCTTAATCTCTAGTCCGAATTGACACACAATTTGATTCCAATTAAAATTTGTGTCGAAATTTGTCTTTGAATTTGAAATGCATGAATGATGAACGAAGTTGAATTTTGAGAAAGGTCTTGAATAATTCTTGATATTTTGAACAATTCACATTAATGAACTTGCACTCTTGAAATAAACCTCGAGAAATCGGAATGCATCTTACTCAAGACATCAAATTCATAAACCTTCTTGAATCTCTCTTACAAATAAGAGCCCTAATGTTATTTGACAAACTTGGATATTTTGGCTTTATGGTATTGGTTACTTGAAAGACAACTTCACAACAATGAATCCAATCTTGATTTAAATCTCAAATCCAAGTTAGCTTGCAAACCACAAGAATTTGAAGAATTCTCAACCTTAACTCGCGTCTTCACCTCATAGTAATTTGTAATACAAAACAATAGCGCAATTCATGTCTTTAAGAAATTTAATCGACAATCCCCCTTAATCCAATGATCGCTACAGTTCAATTGCAAAATGACTTGAAGTAGTCCACAAGCAATCAAAGAATCATTGGACTAAAACTCTAGTTTCATGAAATATCCCAATAGAAAAATAAAACGTTCTTGAGAAAACGTCTCTGGCATGACTTGAACCTTAATCTTTGAAGTAATCTCATAAACAACACTATTTGTGATCCTTTGCAAAAGAATCGCCTCAGTACGTTGAAAATTGAAGAAGTTATGACCGTTCGAACTTGAACTTACAAGAGTTGACTTTTGGTCGGAATGCTTTGAATCGACTTGCAAACTTGATCTTTCTTCGCATTCCCAAAGCATCTTTATGCACGTGTAAACCAGTGATGATGAAATCTTGACTGTGCTTTGGGGAATTTTTGGAGAAGCTTGAGACCACTCGTCGAACAAGGCATGGAAATAAATAAATGATTCCCCTGATGAATCAGTCTTCAAGAATCAACGATCAACCATACTTCTGTCTTGAGAGATTCTGAACCCTAATCAAGGCGTGGCGCCTGATGCTCTTGATTAAGATCTGTTTCCTGCAAATGAAATCAAAGAAACGGATAAAAACACACTTTGTGCTTGATTAGAAGTTAGTGATACATAGGCTAAGAATGTTCAAAATACTTGACAATTTCTGCATAGTCAAAGCTCAAAGGTGAGAAGTTAAAATCGACCATACTTCGTGACCTTGACTTTTTTGTATAAAATGCAAACAATAAAAATGGGATCTTAGGTCAAAAATTGGGGTATGACAGTTGCTGAGTGTAATACGGTGGCAGAACCGACTGTTAATACTGGTTTGCATTTTTTGTTCGTAAAATGTTGCAGTAAGCAAGAGTCGCCACATACTTTTATTTTATCCAATCAGGAAAAGGGAAAAGAATAGATAAAACCTTTTTCGAGATGTTTCTGAGTACGGGGGGTAGATTATAGAAAGCGAAGGTGTTAGCACCCTTTCTATCCATGGTTTTCCATGGGCTCTTAGGTACTTGCTCATTTTGAAAACTACTTGTGTGTGCTTTGTTTTGAAAAGTTTTGTTTTACTTCGTGTTAACCCTTGTTTATGTCCTCAAGAGTGTTACGAAGTTGTTTTTGAAAGCTTTGTTTGAAAAGTGTTTGTGTGAAAAAGTTTATTTGTTTGAGCAAGTACCTAGGAACTAATCTACCTACTCGAAAAAAGTATGTTCGTTTTCCTTTTAGACAGCGCTATCCCATTATTAAGGAATAGGTAGCACCGTCGTTGGAGTTTTTTAAGGACATTCAAAGGGACATGTACGATCACAAAAGCAATGTTAGGAAATGTTAGTAATCATCCTAAAGCCTTAAAGATATTTTTCTAAGGCAACATCCGAATGGGTCATTTTAGATATTTCGGGGCTAGAGGACAACCACTAACAAACCCTATACTTCATGACCATTTACCGAAGGCAACCGGAGTGGAGCAAACCCTAAGAGTGAGCATGTGCGAGTGTATGTTTTCAGTTAGTTTATCTTGCACATTTAGGGTTTTCTACTGTATTAATTTTCAGTTTGTCTTCCCATATAATCCTATTAACATTCATCTACGCAGTTTATAGTTTGTAGAAATAAAAGCGAGAAAGTTAAAGTCCTAGATATTATAGGGCTTTTGCAGATACATAATTATTTTGACCGAAATTAAAGGTGCGGAATTGAAACCCTAATTACTATTACAAACTCAGAACAATTACAATAATAATAAAAAGGAAATTAAAAAATGCGCGCGGCGAGTTAAATGCGAGAATGAATTGAGAAACCTAAAAATCTAATAGAAATATTTAGGTTATTTTTTGAGAAAATTAGGTTATGTACAAAATTAAACCCTAATTCTAATTATTTTTTAATTATGAAAAGAATTAAATTTCCCTAATTTTAATTAAACTAATTAATTAAAGAAATAGAATATTTTATGAAAAAATAATTTTTGATGTTTTTGTGATTTTTGATTTTTTTTAAAAAATGATTTTTGTGTTATTTGTAAAAAGAAAATAATTAGTGAAATAATTAAAAAGAATTAAAATAAAAAAGGGAAAGAGATGGGCCTGTATAAGCAACCCAGGGAGGTGCAATGGCTGAATTTGTTTAGGCCCATTATGCTGAGCCCACTCCATGTGTGAGATCCAGTGCTGGTCATGCCTGTAGGTGCACCATGGTCATTCCTTGATTGAGCTTTGGATTTGGATTAGTGATGATCCAATGGCTGGATTGCGTGGTTGCATGGTGATCCAATGGCTGGATTTGGATTAGTGACGATCCAATGGCTGGATTGCGTGGTTCCAGGTCCTTCCACTCAATACCATGCACGCCTTGCCATATGGGCTACAGTGTTTAGTTGTTATAATATTAACAATATATATTATATAAAAACAAAGTGGATAAAATGGACAAAATAAAAAGCACGCGCGTGATTCAAACAAGCCAATGATGGTCAGCCATGTTAGCTTCTTCTTCCCCTATCCGTCGTTTTAGACCAATTACTTTTACCTACAGACAAAACTCTATAGCTATAACCCTGTAAGTTTCAAAAATTCACAGCAAGCATGATAAATCAATTGTTAGTACATAAATTAATTCGTCTTGATCTCACGAGTATGATCGTACCCTTTTCTTGGGCCAATTTAACCTGTATAGAAAAACCCTAAAATGACAAGGTAAACCCTAACAATGGTGATCATCAATATACACATCAAAACACAAAATTAATTAAACCAAAACATCCCAAACAATGATACAAACACAATGCTATGCTTAAAAGTGATTAACCATGCATAAATTATCAAACTCAGATTCAAGAAATAAGCCAAACCGTGAGGATCGTGTAGGCTGATTCTGGGCTCATGAAGGCGTGCAACCGATCGGAAAACGTTCTGGAGATGCCTAGGAATCTATTAGGAGCTTTGTAATGGCTTGAATTAACCTCTAGGTTAGAAAAAGATTCACCATTTTGTTGCAAATTTTTGAGTTTTTTTATGGGGTTCTCACGACTGCAATCCTCCTTTTTTTGCATTGGTTGTATTATGTATATGTACTAGGACAAATTAGGTTAACAAAAACAAATTGTATCTTTGAAAATCATGGAGATTTTATTTGATTTTTCTCCTTGTATGATATCTTTCCAAAATAGCCTAATCATGCCAATTTTGATTCAATCATCCCTTGCATGATTTGATATGATATGGCGGCCTAATTGGATTTGATTCCTACAAAAAATCAGATCAAAAATCAATCTTTTATATTTTTTGCAATTTATTTGATTTAATTTGAATTTTAAATAATAAAAAATCAAAATAAAATAACTAATGAAGCAAATAAATGTGTTGATGCTGATTTGGATCGTGGACCATGTCTCCAACAAGATACAATCATGAAATGCTAGGCCCATTTCAAAAACAATGCACTTTTGAGCATATTTGACTTTTGGCAATTTTCCAAAAATGGTCAACTTTGACAATTCACATATTCTCCAATTTTAACCTTAGAGAGGTATTCTTCGACTTTTTAGAAAGCTTAGGATATCCCATAAACAATCCTTTTGGTTTCATCTCAATTTGATCTTCCATGTCCATGTAATAAGCTTTGACCCAAAAGGTGTTTTTGTTGACTTTTCAAAAGGACCTATAATGTAGAAATTCATATCTTTTGATGAGTGCATATTTTAAACTTGTGGGATGAAGATTAGTTGTAGGGAATTGCATCCTCTTCAAAATGAGCCTTGGATGGAAAATTTCTGATAAAGTATGAAGAAGTTATGCCTGGTCAAAGTTTGGTTGACTTTTCCTATGAAACCCTAATTTAGCAACTTTTGGGTTTTGATGAATTTGGGGGCATTCCTAGAGGAATCATGATCAACCCTTGATCAAATGATGGATATCTCTTAAATATGTTGATGTTGACCAAAAATCTTGAAGTTTGACTGTATGTGGGCCACAATTGACTTTTGACCTAGTATAGTTGATTTTTAGGCATATGGGCAATTGGATGAGCAAACTTCTTGTGCAAGGCATGAAACTTGACATAAATGATCTTGAGAACATATTTGGACCATGTAAGGCATTTGGGACCTTTGGAGTTCCCACACCTTGATGAAAATGGAAACCCTAGTTTGAGGT